ATAATTACATATGTATAAGTTATTCTGAGTTGAAATTGCATAAAAGAAACAAAGTTATAAGTTTTTTGGCGCATTTCATCAAAATAAAGCCATTTTCTTCATTTCTCAACTTATAAACTTATTCTTTCTCAAACTATTTCAGATTTCGCATGGTAGCAAAACTTCAAAGAGAAATAGGGTGGACAAGCCTAAAAGAATTGATCAACCTAAGAAGAAGCTAAGTGAACAACGGTCCAAGAGTGAACCAAGCGTCGAAGTTGCATTCTTCGAAAGGTTCACCCATGCCACCTACTCCACTTGTTGAAGACATTGTTCTTCAATCGCTCTCTGCTGACATGACCTTTCTTCACAACCGTGCTTGTCATTTGGTCGATCCCATGGAAGTTGCACTTCCTAAGGCAATGTTCCACTATGATGAGGATGCAGTTTCATGGATCAGCAAAGAAGATGTGAAGGAATTTCTACGTGGTGCAAAGCTTAACATTTCCCTCGTTCAAACATTCATGAGGTACTTCAATGCCCACATAATCTATACTTTTTTCAAGTTATTCAAATTGATGGTGATTATCCTACATCTCATTACTTATTCAATGTTCATGCACGCAGAGCACTACAGGATAACTTAACTAACACTGATTCTCCTTGTAAAGTTGGGTGGTTATGCCCCGAGCAGTTATCCACTACTAGAATCATAGGCAACCCTCATGATGTATTGTACTATGTTGAACAGAGTATCAGGGAATCAGAGCGTGCGAGAGTCAAGTTCATATTCGCCCCATGTTATAGAGAGTAAGTCTAACCATGTCAAATTCAATCGATTTGGCCTCATTATATGTTGACTCCTAAATATTAATTTGCTTTTCTATTTTGAACTTATGTAGGGAGCATTGGAGCCTCATGGTTATTTTTAATTCCACTAACACAATTTATCACCTTGATTCAGCTCGATCATCGGAGAAGTGGCTCGTGAAGTCTATATTGCAAAAGTAAATATATATAGCAACCTAGTGATGATTATTGCTAATAATAACTAATTTAGTAATCATACGACTAATCAAATTTGAATGTACTTTTTTTTACTACAGTGTTATGAAGAAGCTACATTGTCGTGCTCCAAAGGGTCCAACATGGAAGTCACCGTTGGTAATTTACATGATATTGTGATTATCTTGAAAATCTATGTTAGTAAATAATTGCTCATTTCCTTTGCATGTTTCACTGATGTGATTTGTTTGTCATATGCTAGTGCGCACAACAAGAGAATGGACTTGATTGTGCTTTGTATGTGATGAGATTCATGCTTGACATTGTGACTCATTGTACGGACACTCAACAGCTTGATGAGGTAAGTCCTAAAACTTATTGAAATGCTATATTGATGTGATTTCTAGCCTTAGACACCTAATATTACCCAAAATTGACATGTTATAAGAAATAAAAAGGTCATTTGACAAGAAAGGTAGAAAATGGGCTGAATAGAAGTCATATGGGCCATATTTGGGCAATTTTGTGTTAATATGCTCTTTTGATGTGATTTATTTCCTTATACACCTATAACTAGATAATATTGACATGTTATGAGATAAATAAAGTTCATTTAATAAGAAATGTAGGAAATGGGAAAAGTAAAGTCATATAGGCCATATTCGGGTCATTTTGAGTAAAAAGCGTTATAAACCTTAATAAAATGCTCTCCTATACAATTTTAGGGCTTACACACATACAACTACCCAACATTGACATGTTATGAGAAAGAAATAGTTCATTTGATAAGTAATGCAGGAAATGGGCTACATAGAAGTCATATAGGTAATATTTGATAAAATACATGTTGTTTTGCCTAAATAACAAATTTTAACATAATGTTTTTGTATTTCAAGTTTTGCAAGGTCCAAAAAGATGGTCCGTTGACAATCAAGGAGCTTAATGAAGTTCGTGACATGTTGGCGTCTTTTATCACTTTCAACATGTAAATGATATTGTAATTGTAAATTATTTATGTTAACTTTTGAACTATATAACTTATTATTCATTATATATTTACTTACTATTATTTGTATATGTAAGCAACTTTTTTTTTATGTATTGCGTTTGGGAATATTTATATCTATATCTATAATTAAATTCTTGTTTTCAATATTATTTTTGTATCTTATTGTAATAATTAATAATATTATTATTATTAGTTATTAAAATAATAATATTATTAATTATTATATTTAATATAATTGCTGGAATTACAGGTTATTATTATTGCGGGAAACAGGTTTTTTTTTAGAATATTATTGCACGAAAATTGGAAAAAAAACAAAAAAAAAATTTGTTGAATAGGCACCGGTTAGGCATCAACCGGTGCCTAAAATAGCATTACCACCAAAAAAAAATTGGCAGGAGAGCAGTTAAAGGCACCGGTTAACCGGTGCCTAATTGAGCATTTGACACCGGTTAACCAGTGCCTATTTGACCCTATGGCACCGGTTTTGAACCAGTGCTAAAAAGATGGTTTTTGGCACCCCTCACATAGGCAGCGGTTCAAACCGGTGCCTTAGACCGGGTTTGAACTGCTGCCAAAGGCCTTTTTTCATCTAGTGATAATTAAAACATGAATTTACGTGTTCAAAATAATCTGGAATTAAGTTAAACTAAAACGTAGTTATAATCACCAAAATTTCAAAACAACATTACTATAAAAGCCCTAAATAAATTATTCATAAAAACCCTAAAATCATGATTTTCAATAATTAAAAACCCTAGGTTATAAAATTTACAAAATCTGAAAATTTGATACTAATTAAATTAATTTCAAACAATAAAATCAAAACCCATAAATCAATAATTATAATTACACAAATTAATAAAACAAAGGAGAGAGAAAATAAGACTAACCTTTTTGGGTGGGAAATTTTTGGGGATTCATGGGGTATTTATAAAGTAGAGAGTGTAGGGTTAAATTTGGGCTTATAAAAATGTGGGCTTGAGTTATGGGATAGGGCATAAGTTATGGGTTTTGGAATGGGTTATTCCAATAAGTGTATGTAGGAATAATTTACATTGCCCAATAATTAATAAACGTTTGGTCCAAAACATATTTTACTTTTATAAAACTTTATATTAAAATACTTTAACCCTTTAAAATATTTAATTAAAATACTTGAGCCCTTGACAATACATTTTATTAATACTTAAATACTTTTTAAAAATACATAAAAATACGGGGTATTACAGTCTACCCCCCTTAAAAGAAGTTTCGTCCTCGAAACTTAGGTACGAAAACTTTAAAAACTCGTTTAAAGGCAAATAAATACTTAAAATCTCAAAAACTTTTCTTAATACTTTTAGTTGCTGTACTTTTGTGATACTTCCTTTCTACCTCATGTATTAATTCACACACAAACTAGTGTGTAAAGTAACCAACTTGCTGACCTACTTACACAAAATAATGTGTAAGATAACAACTTTACCAACAAACTTTCACAAAATAATGTGTAAACTATTAGACTATCTAACAAACTCACACTAGCATTAGTGTAAGAATCAACTTTGGTAATAAACTTACACATCTTAGTGTGTAAAATAATCAAACTTATCAACTAAATCAGTGTAAAACTGACGAAAAAGCACTTTAAAATGCCAAAATTAAGGAAAAAGCACGTAATTCTATCGCACTCTACCCCCCTTAAAGAAAACGAGTTACGCCCCCGTAACTCCACTTAACTCAGCTTTAGAATCATGTTGATCTTTTCTCATTCCATCCTTGGTAAGGTCATAACACTTCTCTGTATGCATTCTTTGTTGCGAACCAAAATTCTTATTAATTCCTTACTTATTATACCAAAAATAATCAATTTCCATCTATACTATCTTTCACCCATCCTCTAGTAAAAGTATGAAGCACTTTGATATTCGAAACTTTGAGTTGTCTAGCTTTTTCATGATCAAATTGGCTGAACTCAATAGATCTCTTTGCAACTCATACCTTTAGTTAATGTTCTTTCACAATGACTTTTGAAAATTGTCTTATACTTTACCAAGGTCCGATAATATGCCAAGTTATTTGCCACTTTATGATAGGCCGTCGTCGAGCCTACCAAAGATAATAATTCCTATCTTGGTCTCACTAACAATAGTAAGGGTAAGAAAGGGTCGAACCCAAGAGAGGCGTTGAATCAACCACCGAGTACTACCGTTTAAATAAGCTAAACGAATTCTAAATTGGGTTGGTTTTGAGTAACTTCTTCTAACGCAATTCAACTAAGCTAAGAGGAGGTTAACAATATTTAGAGGAATCTAGGGCTTGGGTTATACCACTCAACTTCATCACAAATCACAATTAGCATGCAACAATCAAGGCAAATTAATGGGATAAATTAGGGGAAGTCATCTAAAGCACCCAACTACTCTCTCAAGCTAGAGGGATTACTTGAATCATGAATACAACCTACTCTCGTGGTTACATAGCATAAAACAAGTGTTAAAGCATAATCACGATGACATAAAAATTCCCTTGACCGGTAATCCCTATTCTCATGGCACCCTATATAGAGATAGATCAGAGATATGGGAGTAAAGAGATAGAAAGAGGACGAGGAGAGAGGGAGAGGGAGAGGAAAGAGGATGCAAGAGACTAAGAGTGAGGTACGCTGAGAAAATAAAAATAAGGGGTAAAAATAAAACTTAGCATAGGTGTCTCCTGTAATAGTAAAAGACTATATGCGACTCGTAAAGTAATACTTTATGAGTCACACATAATGAAAGACTAGACGCGTATAATTTACGTGTCGCCTATTATAGTGTAGGTGATGTCTATGACTTTCAACTCATTTTTAGGTGTCTTTTTATCTATCCTTATGTGTCACACACTTTGTAAGAGGCGACTCTAAAACCTTACGCGTCACCTATTAATTTGAGGCGACTCTAAAAGGGCGACTCCTTAGGGTGTTTTTGTAGTAGTGGTACATAACTTGAAGGCGGGTCATGGTTGGACTGACACTAGTTTTAATATGTTATTGGAGTTAGCGAAAGACATGCTTCCCAAAGATAATGCTCTTCCTTATAGTACATATGAGGCAAAAAAGTCACTAAGCCGAATGAGTTTACCTTATGAGAAAATCCATGCATGCCCTAATGATTGTGTATTGTATAAAAATCAATAAAAATCATTAGAGTTGTCCAATTTGTTAAGCTTCACGGTACAAGAAAAGGGAAGGAGCAGTACCAGTGAAGGTTTTATGGTATTTTCCTATAGTACCAAGGTTCAAACGATGGTTTTCAAAAGCAGAAGATGCAAAGAAGTTGACATGGAATTTCGATAGTCGAGTTGACGATGGAATGCTTAGACATCCAGCTGACTCTCCGCAGTGGAGATTTATTGATGGAAAATTCCCGGACTTTGCCCAAGAAAAGCGTAATTTACGCCTTGCATTGTCTACGGATGGGTTCAATCTATTCGGTTCCTTGAGTAACACATATAGCACATGGTCAGTTATGCTAGTGACCTACAACTTACCTCCTTCATTGTGCATGAAGAGAAGGTATATGTTCTTGTCGTTGTTAATTCAAGGTCCAAAGCAACCGGGCAATGACATCGATGTGTATTTGACTCTAGTTATTAATGATTTGATTATGCTTTGGGAAGAAGGTGTTGAAGTGTTTGATGCTTATCGCAATGAGAATTTTAATTTGACAGCAATGCCATTTTGTACTATCCAAGATTTTCCGGCGTATGGCAACCTTTCGGGGTACACAGTGAAGGGGAAAACAGCTTGTCCCATCAGTATGGAAGATTGCATGGGAACGTGGTTAAATGTATCTAAAAAGCATGTCTATCCGGTTCATCGCCAGTTTTTGCCGCCTAATCATCCATATTGTAGGAGAAAGAATGTGTTCGATGGCAGCAAGAGTTTAAAGGGCGATCAAAAGTCATCTTAGGTGAAGAGATATTCGATAAGGTGAAAAATATTGACATCAAATTTGGCAAGAAACATAAATCGGCCCTTTCTACGCAGGGGTTCAAAAAGTGTTCGGTTCTTTGGCGGCTTCTTTATTGGAAACATCTTTTTGTGAGACATTCATTTGATTTAATGCATATTGAGAAGAATGTGTGTGATAGTGTGATTGGTACCTTATTGAATATCGATGGTAAGACTAAAGATGGCAAAAAAGCGAGGGATGACTTGAAGGATATGGCGATTAGAGGTGAACTCCATGCTATTGATAATGATATAGGTCGAACATACTTGCCTCCTGCTGCTTTCACTTTGTTAAGAAAAGAGAAAATCGAATTTTGTGAAAGCTTGGCAAGAGTGAAAGTGCCCGAGGGTTATTCTTCTAATATTCGCAACCTTGTGAATATGGAAACCTTGAAACTTGTAGGCCTAAAGTCACATGATTGCCATGTTTTGATGCAACAGTTATTACCTGTGGCGATTTGCTCAATTTTGCCTAAAGATGTTCGATTTGCAATTATCAGACTATGTGGATTTTTTCATGCGATTTATAGCAAAGTCATTGATCCTAAAGAGTTGACTACTTTGAAGAATGAAATTATTGTTTTAGTTTTGTGTCAATTAGAGATGTACTTCCCTCCATCATTTTTTGATGTTATGGTTCATTTACCAGTCCACTTAGTTAGAGAGATAAGATATTGTGGACCGGTTCACATGAGAAATCAGTGGTGTTTTGAGAGGAAAATGAAAACCTATAAGGGATTTGTGAAGAATGCTTTTCATCCGGAAGGTTGTATAGCTGAACGACTGTTTTATGAAGAAGTTCTTGCTCATACCGGTGACTTTTTTTAGAATTCAAAGCGGATAGGGCTTCCTGTATCTCGTCATTGTGGAAGAATGGATGGTGAGGGAACCATAGGTCGAAAACAACGTGAGTTTTCTTATGATGATTGGCATAAGGCGCATTCATACATTTTTCATAATGAGGATAAAGTTATGCCATATGTGGAGAAACACATGAGTTACTTGAGGAAGTGCAACAGAAAGGCAAATGAGAAATCATTAACTGCCGAACATAGCAAATCATTCATTAGTTGGTTCAAAGATCAAGTAATAACAGAGCTATTGGATTCTTTTACTTTAATTTCTGATCGATTTAAGAGTTTGGCATTCGGGCCTAATTTCAATGCCACTTACTATTCTGGATATGTCATAAATGGTTGCACATTTTACACAAGGTTCCAAGATCAACAAAGTACTATGCAGAATAGTGGTGTTACTTTAGAGGCCAAAGCCTTGCATTTTGCCAGTGCTAAAGACAAAAATCCTGTGAGTGGTTTGATGAGGTACTATGGGGTTATTGAAGAGATTTGTGAGTTACATTACTCTACTTTTTCAGTACCTGTTTTTAAATGCCAATGGGTTGATAATAACAATGGGGTCGAACATAGTGATTTTGGGCTTACATTGGTTGATCTCAACAAATTTGGTCATAAAGAAGATCCTTTCATCTTATTAAGTCAAGCAAAACAAGTGTTTTATATGGCTGACCCAGCAAACAAGAAAATGTCAGCGGTTATAACCCCGAATCCTAGACATATTGATGATGATTATGGCGATGATAGTGTGTTAGACAATGCTTATGTTACGCGAAAGGTACAAGGACATATTGAGGATGATGTAGCCGATGATGTTTCAATATATGTAAAGGATGATCACAATGAAGGCATGTGGGTTGAAAAAGAAAAAAAGGGAACTAAGCGAAAGCGCGCTAAAAAATCTTAATAGGTGTGTGACAGTTCATTGCCTTAATTCTTTGTGGTTGTTACTTTATTTTTTCAACTTGAATTATAAATGTGTGCTTTTATCATTTTAATTTCTTCATTGCTAATCTAAATTTCTCCATCTTAGTCATTATAGCATATTCTGTTTACTTTTTGGAATTGAGTTTTTTTGTTATGAAATTAACTACTCATGTCACTCGAAATTTTGACCTTCTGTGTAGTAGAAGGATGGCTCGAAAGAAATTGCAAGTGCACGCAACGGACAATTCTGAATGCGAGGAAGAAAGAGGTCGTACTGTGCTCAGAATAGTTGGGAGAGCTATTCAGGTTGGCATAAAAATCCCTTTACAGTGGCATACAACTAGGAGAATCCCTATCGGTGTTCATAGAGGTCATTTCACCACCTACATTGGTGTAGTTGTCTGTGAAAAAGTGAGCATCACCTACAGAAAGTGGTCAGACCTGCCAAAAGCACTCATTGATGATTTGTATGAAAATATTTCGGTATGTAAATAACGTTTTTATGTTTTAAAGGAAGAGAAACTGAATTTTATATAGATACTTTTAAATGTGACGAATATCTGAATTTCTTTTGGATAAAGAGGGGTTTTCATGTTCTTGAGGATCGCAAAGGTTGGATTATGAAACAAGCTTGCGTTCGATGGAGAGCTTTCAAGACTAGATTAAGGCTCAAGTGGTTGTACCTGAAAGATGGAACAATCAATGATTCTCCACCATTGAAATATCCTTTCATATCTAAAGATGATTGGGAAAAATTCATTCAAGCTTGTAATTCTAGGGACTTCAAGGTGCAAGTTCATTACGTTGGCATTTGTTTTATCTTTATTTTTTTTTTTGTGTATTTAAAATTTGTGTGGATTAACTCTGATATTAAATATAATTATTGCAAAATTGAGTGAAAGAAATCGTGAAAGTTCGAAGAAGAGGACCTCAAAATATCGAGGTGGGAGACTTGGCTATCAATATTTTGAAGAAACAATTGTAAGTATATGCTAAACATTTTATAACTACTTTGTGGTATTAGTGGTGTTCTTATTGCTGTAACCTTCTGTTTTTTACTTCAAAAAAATTTAATACTAGCTGTTCTAACTAAATAATAATCCTGGTGTTCTGTTTTTACCTTTGCCTCGCTGCTTAGCTTAATAGTGCTCATTCCTCACCATGCTCTTTCATGTTAATTTAATAAAAGAATATATAGAGAACTCAATTGATAATTTTAAAAATTTTGAAATTCTTTGTGTTTCAGCTATATTTTCTATTTTTATTTGCAATGGTAGGAAAAAGAGCTGGAGAAGCAAGGAGTACATGTTTCATACGTGCCTCGGCATTTGACTTGGATCAAAGCTCATTCTCATGTGAAGAATGGAGTTTTAACTTTTGATAATCCTGCAGATAAGGAAATCCATGATGTAATAGTAAGATATATTAGCATTTGTTTTTCTTGTTTTTCAGTCACTAAGATTATTATTTAGTGACTTATATAATTCTTTGCGATAATTTCCAGATTGGGCTGGAGGCGCAAGTTCAAAAAGGTGAGATACTCGCTATAGATAGAGATGACATCTTAGCAAGAGCGTTGGACAAGCCAGAACGGGGTGGTTCTGTTAGGGGTGTTGGATCTGGAGTAACTAACACAGAGTACTTTGGGTTCAACAAACCACCTGGACCTAGTGAAGTGAATGCTAAAATGAATGCAATGAACTCAAAGATGGCATCTATGATGAAGCAGCATAATTTTATCGTGTCATTCATGATGTCATGCTTAAACCAGGATCAATTAAGAGCATTTATTGCTGGTGGTGCTCAGCAAGGTGTTTTTAGTGGTGACACTGACACTAAAGGTTTAGGTGGCCTGCTTGGTGTTTCTGGTAATAATTTTAAATGTGGTGGCGACTCCAATGGTTCTACAAACCATGGGGCAGGTGGTATTGGGTTCAATGATGCTCATATAGACAACACTTTTGGTCATGAGATCCCATTGACACAACTCTTAATTGGAGGTCTGGAACACCATGATGGTGAAGGGCCACAATTTAGACACGATTCACCAGGAGATAAATATCATGAAGAGGCTTACTAAGCACATAAAATTGAGTCAAATGCAGAAGCTCAACGTACAAACAACCCTATTGTGCATGAGCCTTATCTTAATAACCTCGAGACAGAGCCATATCGTGTCCAATGGCCTGAGGTAAACCATATAGATCAATTTGCACATACCACAACTCCCAAATTAAATATATTAAATATTCCAACAAGATCATAACTTCTCAAAACTCCAACCATATATTAAAATATATATGCTCAATTCTCCATCCCAAATTAAATAACTTTAATCATAAGAAATGATAAGTCACTAAGCTTAAAATGTCAAACTTCAATTGATCCGCGTTGAGTATCCCTCAACTGATATAATAACTTTCATCATTACTCATCTCTAATCAATTCCTATGCTCACCTCTCTTAGGCTCTTGTTCAATTTCGATTCCAATTCAAACTCATACTCAAAGACAAAACATATTCCTCAGAATAGATAATATCCCAAACGATTTCATCCTTAAGCTCCTTAACCATATGCATTAAAATCAATCTCTTTATCCTTATAACTTGGTGTCTCCATACACAAGTGTACACAACTCAAATTACTCATTTTTAATATCTAGACAATGTATCTTAACAACAAATTATCCCAAAAACAATACTCACATTCATGTGATGATGTGCATCCAAATTTTTTTCGAAAATACATCTCAAATAAGACCATTGAAGAGAACCATCCTAACATAAGCAATTGAACTCTCAAAATCCTTAACATTCCTCAAAATTCTCATCATAGAAACTCACAGGGTATAGGTTTAGGGATCCTACAAGAAAACGGTATTAACTACCAATAGCAAACCCTTCCCATAACCATATAATACAGTTCTTATAGAAAATTAAGTTCGATGTTCAATTAAACAATCTTGATAGCTCACATATAATGATTCACATATTACATGTTGTCATCAATAAACATTTAGTCATACAACATGCTTGAACACCTCTAAAAATATATATATATATGCACATAGGAAAGAAATTAAATTCTAGCTTATATGCCCTTTCTTCTCCTACCCAAGCTCACCAACATGCTTATAAAAGCTTTTAACACATATTTCTTACCTCAATCCTTGCTTTCCTGCAACATGAACAAACTAAAAATATTTTTGACTCCTTTTTATTTATTTATTTTTTTTAAAGAAATTCAAAAATATGCTTTGAAAAGGACCGAAAAAATTTCGGCTTTCTAAAAAAAAATCTGACATCTTAATAAAAAAAAAATTCGGATGTTCTTCATAAAAAAAATGGTCATTCCTAAAATAAAAACAAAAATAAAATTCAAAACAATTTAGTTTAACACCGTTTAATTAAATAAGCACTTGGCCAAGTTTTAAATAAGCACTTGGCCAAGTTTTAGAATACATTTTTTTTTGCTTTAGTGGAAATAAAATCTCAACCAAAGCTCTGATACCACTTTGTAACACCCTAGAAATTCCTTTCTTTTAAAATACCTGTTTTGCCCTGTTTAAAAATTTAAATAGGAATATCTAAGATATTACCGCCACCGTGAAAATGGCTAAGGCAGCCATCAAAGACACACAGCGGAAGACTAATTTCAAAACCATTCAAAACAAGTCAACTTGAAAAGTCAACCAACGAAAGTAAAGTCAAAACCAAAGTCAAACGAAGTAAAATAAAACCATCCTACAACTTGGAACCATTGTAGGCCCTTATTAAAACCAAACCAACTTTAAAACTTTTGCGCTAGTCATGCATGATAATAATATCATAAATAATTAAAGCATTAAACACATCATATACTTATAGAAACTAGCATGATTCGCTCTTCACTCATGCCCATTCATGAATATGCTTCATCACCTGAAAACCTCCTCTCTACTTGTCCCCACTACTCGCCATTAGAAAATGGGTCGTCGTAGGGCCAAAGTTAAGACATAGGCAAACACACAAACACACACAATCAGCAAAGCTGAGTACATAAGCGTA